CGGTCAATCAGTGGTGTGTGGAACACAGCGGTCAATCAGTGGTGTGTGGAACACAGCGGTCAATCAGTGGTGTGTGGAACACAGCGGTCAGTCAGTGGTGTGTGGAACACAGCGGTCAATCAGTGGTGTGTGGAACACAGCGGTCAATCAGTGGTGTGTGGAACACAGCGGTCAGTCAGTGGTGTGTGGAACACAGCGGTCAATCAGTGGTGTGTGGAACACAGCGGTCAGTCAGTGGTGTGTGGAACACAGCGGTCAATCAGTGGTGTGTGGAACACAGCGGTCAGTCAGTGGTGTGTGGAACACAGCGGTCAATCAGTGGTGTGTGGAACACAGCGGTCAATCAGTGGTGTGTGGAACACAGCGGTCAATCAGTGGTGTGTGGAACACAGCGGTCAATCGCTCCAATAGGAGCTCAAACACGTTTCGGCATAAACATTACCATGGCGCAGAGCCACTATTAATGTGCCCGCCGGCGGGTGCTTGTCATCCTTTAGAGTTCCTAACTTTTCAGTAAAGTCTCCATGTACTTACGTATACATTTACCTCCATGTACTTACGTATACATTTACCTCCATGTACTTACGTAAGCATTTACTTCCATGTACTTACGTAAGCATTTACTTCCATGTACTTACGTATACATTTACCTCCATGTACTTACGTATACATTTACCTCCATGTACTTACGTAAGCATTTACCTCCATGTACTTACGTAAGCATTTACCTCCATGTACTTACGTATACATTTACCTCCATGTACTTACGTAAGCATTTACCTCCATGTACTTACGTAAGCATTTACCTCCATGTACTTACGTAAGCATTTACCTCCATGTACTTACTTAAGCATATACCTCCTTGTACTTACGTAAGCATTTACCTCCATGCATTTACCTCCATGTACTTACGTAAGCATTTACCTCCATGTATTTACCTCCATGTACTTACGTAAGCATTTACCTCCATGTACTTACGTAAGCATTTACCTCCCTATACTTACATAAGCATTTACCTCCATGTACTTACGTAAGCATTTACCTCCATGTACTTACGTAAGCATTTACCTCCATGTACTTACTTAAGCATATACCTCCTTGTACTTACGTAAGCATTTACCTCCATGTACTTACGTAAGCATTTACCTCCATGTACTTACTTAAGCATATACCTCCTTGTACTTACGTAAGCATTTACCTCCATGTACTTACTTAAGCATATACCTCCTTGTACTTACGTAAGCATTTACCTCCATGTACTTACGTAAGCATTTACCTCCCTATACTTACATAAGCATTTACCTCCATGTACTTACTTAAGCATATACCTCCTTGTACTTACGTAAGCATTTACCTCCATGTACTTACTTAAGCATATACCTCCTTGTACTTACGTAAGCATTTACCTCCATGTACTTACGTAAGCATTTACCTCCCTATACTTACATAAGCATTTACCTCCATGTACTTACTTAAGCATATACCTCCTTGTACTTACGTAAGCATTTACCTCCATGTACTTACTTAAGCATATACCTCCTTGTACTTACGTAAGCATTTACCTCCATGTACTTACGTAAGCATTTACCTCCCTATACTTACATAAGCATTTACCTCCATGTACTTGTATAACCATTTACCTCCATGTACGTATGTAACCATCTTCCTCAGTATCTTAGATAAAGCTTACTCATATGTATTATTTTTTAAGTATCTTTAAAGGTAATTTGATAAAGATTAGTCATTTATTAGAATTCATTTATTGAGATCATATTGTTATTAAGTTTACAATAATTATTGGGTCATAATTAGGCAAATTAATAATGAACAAATCCACAAGTGCCGTGACGAGGATTCGAACCTGCGTCCAAGAGCATCCCAGACGCTGCCTTAATCGACTGAGCTACGACATTTTAAAAGAGTTGAAACCGAATTTCTACTGAACTTATTGGATCCTGCAGCCTCTCCGAGGCACAAACCAGGGTTGTACATAACTTCCCCCATGCACTCGAGCTATGTCAATAGGCCGTTCTCCCTCTTCGCCCTTACTTCATTACACACAGAAATCACAATTGCATGATGCATCAAATGAACAAATCCACATGGGCCGTGACGAGGATTCGAACCTGCGTCCGAGAGCATCCCAGACGCGGCCTTAATCGACTGAGCTACGTGGTCAAAAGGAGTTGAAACCGAAGTTCTACTGAACTTACTGAATCCTGCAGCCTCTCCGAGGCACAAACCAGGGTTTTACACAATTCCCCCCATGAGTTGGGGGAGTTGTGTATATGGTGTTGTCTCCCCCCATAAGGATGTTAGAGGCATTTCTAACATCCTAGGGTCTAAACAACAATCACAAACCAAGCAGATAAAACTCTCCAAAGATGATTACACACTTACAACAGATTTATATTGTCGGAAAATCCGACACCAATTAATAATATCAATGCAATTGCAGATAATATTGCGGCGTTGTATAAACAAGTTAACCCATAGAAAATGTAACTTGTAGTGGAATTTTCCGTCTATAGAAAACGGGATATCATTGCCACATACTATTATAAATTCACCAGTTATTCTACTGGGAATTATTCTTAAATACATTAGTCTTTGGGCTTTACCATCATAAAAATATCTCATATAAATTAACTTAATTATCAATATTAAAATAGAGTAAATGTGACCCTTCTATAACTTACTGACATCTGGACAAATAGGCCAGTAGCGTCAGTAGTGAAGGAGTAGTCAGCTATTGTTGTTTAAGACCAGAGGCGCACGGGAGCAAATTCGGCTCCTGTTAATTTCTCTTGGACGAAGTGTTATGGAAACCAAGGGTCTACCATTATCAACACGCTGTCAACAAACACAAGGAAAGTGTTCTGCCGAAACCCATTTATCTAATCATTTTTGGCCATTAATGTAGATAGGGCGAGCCGGTTAGAATGCGAACAGCCTCTTAAAAAAAGGTAATTAAGCTTTGGTCTATATGGTTCATTTTACAGTGTTTTCTCTGATATAGCTGTCATATATTAGGATTCTGGCTTTTAGCTAGCGCCCTTTTGACAGGTCAAGAAGAGGAAGCACGCTTTGTGAATCAGTTACTGGGTGATAGAAGCTGCCTCATACGAGGAAATTTGGTGTCTACATCCTAGTTATATCTGGTGAACCAAGCCTGCTGTATAATAAGATAAGGAACCTCAATGTATACTAATATGTAGTTTAATACTGTAGTTTGATTGGATGCATATATATAAATTCAATATAAACCCCCCCTAATGTGTAGAGGCCCGATTTATGAGATTATTGCAGAAAAACAGTCCACTTAACATCATACAAATTGCTATCGAAATATATAAATTAACGTAAATATAAGGACATGGGGAGGACATGGGGAAGGACACTGAGGACATGGGGGAGGACACTGAGGATATGGGGGATATGGGGAGGACATGGAGGAGGACACTGAGGATATGGGGGAGGACACTGAGGATATGGGGAGGACACTGAAGACATGGGGGAGGACACTGAGGACATGGGGGAGGACACTGAGGATATGGGGGAGGACACTGAGGATATGGGGGAGGACACTGAGGACATGGGGGAGGACACTGAGGACATGGGGGAGGACACTGAGGACATGGGGGAGGACGCTGAGGATATGGGGGAGGACACTGAGGATATGGGGGAGGACACTGAGGACATGAGGGACATGGGGGAGGACACTGAGGACATGGGGGAGGATGCTGAGGATATGGGGGACATGAGGGAGGACACTGAGGACATGGGGGACATGGGGAGGACACTGAGGACATGGGGGAGCACACTGAGGACATGGGGGAGGACACTGAGGACATGGGGGAGGACACTGAGGATATGGGGGACATGGGAGAGGACACTGAGGATATGGGGGAGGACACTGAGGATATGGGGGAGGACACTGAGGATATGGGGGAGGACACTGAGGACATGGGGGAGCACACTGAGGACATGGGGGACATGGGGGAGGACACTGAGGACATGGGGGACATGGGGAGGACACTGAGAACATGAGGAGGACACTGAGGACATGGGAGAGGACACTGAGGATATGGGGGAGGACACTGAGGATATGGGGGACATAGGGAGGACACTGAGGATATGGGGGACATAGGGAGGACACTGAGGATATGGGGGAGGACACTGAGGATATGGGGGACATAGGGAGGACACTGAGGACATGGGGGAGGACACTGAGGATATGGGGGACATAAGGAGGACACTGAGGATATGGGGGAGGACACTGAGGATATGGGGGACATGGGGGAGGACACTGAGGATATGGGGGACATAGGGAGGACACTGAGGACATGGGGGAGGACACTGAGGACATGGGGGAGGACACTGAGAAGATGGCGGACATGGGGGAGGACACGAGGGACATGGGGGAGGACACGTGGACACGGAGTACACTGAGGACATGGGGGAGGACACTGGGGACATGGACACTGAGAACATGGAGGACACTGAGGACATGAGGGAGGACACTGAGGACATGGAGGACACTGAGGACATGGGGAAGGACACTGAGGACATGGGGGAGGACACTGGGGACATGGAGGACACTGAGGACATGGAGGACACTGAGGACATGGAGGACACTGAGGACATGGGGCCATGGGGAAGGACACTGAGGACATGGGGAGGACATTGAGGACATGGGGAGGACACTGAGGACATGAGGGACATGGGGGAGGACACGGGGAGTGTTTAGTTTAGTTTTTCTACCACAGACGTGGCCACACATTAACACTACTAACCAATATATATATATACATTTTATTCTGGCCGCCATGGACCGGGTTAGAGATCTGTAAAACATCAGGATTTTATTGAACAATCAACCACAGAAGGTGACTGATATGAAAATGTTAATGTAACCCACAAACATAAATACATACATTTACGTTTGTCCTACATAAACAGTGCTCCAGGTATGTCCTTTTATACACGGACGCCCTAGGCTACCTGAGGAGAGGACTGAGTCGAGATTTTGAAAAACACTCTGGTGGTGAGGGCGTGATGTCTCCACCACTACTGTCCCCAGGTGGTGAGGGCGTGATGTCTCCACCACTACTGTCCCCAGGTGGTGAGGGCGTGATGTCTCCACCACTACTGTCCCCAGGTGGTGAGGGCGTGATGTCTCCACCACTACTGTCCCCAGGTGGTGAGGGCGTGATGTCTCCACCACTACTGTCCCCAGGTGGTGAGGGCGTGATGTCTCCACCACTACTGTCCCCAGGTGGTGAGGGCGTGATGTCTCCACCACTACTGTCCCCAGGTGGTGAGGGCGTGATGTCTCCACCACTACTGTCCCCAGGTGGTGAGGGCGTGATGTCTCCACCACTACTGTCCCCAGGTGGTGAGGGCGTGATGTCTCCACCACTACTGTCCCCAGGTGGTGAGGGCGTGATGTCTCCACCACTACTGTCCCCAGGTGGTGAGGGCGTGATGTCTCCACCACTACTGTCCCCAGGTGGTGAGGGCGTGATGTCTCCATCACTACTGTCCCCAGGTGGTGAGGGCGTGATGTCTCCACCACTACTGTCCCCAGGTGGTGAGGGCGTGATGTCTCCACCACTACTGTCCCCAGGTGGTGAGGGCGTGATGTCTCCACCACTACTGTCCCCAGGTGGTGAGGGCGTGATGTCTCCATCACTACTGTCCCCAGGTGGTGAGGGCGTGATGTCTCCACCACTACTGTCCCCTGGTGGTGAGGGCGTGATGTCTCCACCACTACTGTCCCCAGGTGGCGAGGACCTGTGGTCTCCATCATTACAGTCCCCTGGTGGTGAGGACCTGTGGTCTCCATCACTACAGTCCCCTGGTGGCGAGGACCTGTGGTCTCCATCATTACAGTCCCCTGGTGGTGAGGACCTGTGGTCTCCATCACTACAGTCCCCTGGTGGTGAGGACCTGTGGTCTCCATCACTACAGTCCCCAGGTGGTGAGGACCTGTGGTCTCCATCACTACAGTCCCCAGGTGGTGAGGACCTGTGGTCTCCATCACTACAGTCCCCAGGGGGTGAGGACCTGTGGTCTCCATCACTACAGTCCCCTGGTGGCGAGGACCTGTGGTCTCCATCACTACAGTCCCCTGGTGGTGAGGACCTGTGGTCTCCATCATTACAGTCCCCTGGTGGTGAGGACCTGTGTTCTCCATCACTACAGTCCCCAGGTGGTGAGGACCTGTGGTCTCCATCACTACAGTCCCCAGGTGGTGAGGACCTGTGGTCTCCATCACTACAGTCCCCAGGGGGTGAGGACCTGTGGTCTCCATCACTACAGTCCCCTGGTGGCGAGGACCTGTGGTCTCCATCACTACAGTCCCCTGGTGGTGAGGACCTGTGGTCTCCATCATTACAGTCCCCTGGTGGTGAGGACCTGTGTTCTCCATCACTACAGTCCCCAGGTGGTGAGGACCTGTGGTCTCCATCACTACAGTCCCCAGGTGGTGAGGACCTGTGGTCTCCATCACTACAGTCCACTAATGGCCCTTAATTAACACAATAAAACGAAAGTTGTTCAATGTCAATCAAATTTTTTTTGCTAGTTGTATATGAAAAGGGACTCAACTGGTCCAAGTCTCAGCATCGTAGCTTAAATAGGAAGGAAGAAAAAAAATATTGAACTATCTTTAAAAAAAAAAATCAAAATGGTCAAAAATTAACATCAAACACAAGTGACAACTGAAATCATATCTATGACTCTAAGCAATCACAATAGCATGTTATAAAGTATTTTAACAATTAGTTTTATGCCAAAAAAATTTTATTAACAATTTTTTTGTTTTATCGGGTGATTTGCATGAAACTTATACACCTTACAGAACGTAAGCCTATCTGTAGGGGTGCCAATTTGGAAGGTAATTGGTTGATGTCAACCTCAACCACAGGTGGCTGAATCTAGGACTATATTTATTGCCATATATATAGTCAAGTAACAGAAAATTTCTAGTCGCTTTCATTTTTTATTCAATTTATATGAAACTTATACCTTATATGTAGAGTTTATGTCTCTACAATCTCTCTAAAACACTTTATTCCAAAGTTTATTCATTGATTTTATAAATATTTTCAAACATGCTATATTGGCGTAAATTTTGGGGGAAATTTGACAGTTTGTATTAGTAAAACTAAACATATTTTGGATAATCTGCTTGGACAAATCCTTTATTATATGTTATTAATGTCATGGAAGAGTGTCATAGAAATGATCTCATTTGAAACTTGTGGTTGAACCAACTTATTGAAAATGTGAAAAATTCGTTGAAAAAACTTGTTTTTATTTTCTCCCTTTCTATTTAGGGTGCGATACTGAATCTTGGACCAGTTGCAGCCTTTTTCATATATAACTAGCAAATAAAGTTTGATTGAAATTGAACAATTTTTGCTTCTACTGTGCTAAGGCCCCTAAGTACAGTACACAGGTCTTGTGTTGTCTCCATCACAACAGTCCACTAAG